AAATTTAATAGCTTATTCATTGTGTCTACACGTGAATGCAATTGTATCTTTGCTTTGTTATTTAGCTTGCTGGCAATGATCATCCAGTATTGTTTTAACCGTGTTATCTAGCCTGCTGTCGGTCATCAATTTTACTTGGCATGTAAAGGACAACGTACTGGTTGTGGAATTAGCCATCTTTGTATATGTATATATTTTTCTCACATTGCTTTTGACACTTGGACTTTTATAATGTGATAAGTAAAGATTTTCTATTTGTTTTCAGTTAGCGTTTTGAGTGATTACTTTTGTTTGCTTTCGTTTGCTAAGGTTTTTAGAAGTCAAGTTGTATTCATTTCATGATGAACAATCGTAGTATTGGAATTACAACCAAATGAATAACAAAGACCAGGATGTCAACTGTTAAAAGTAACACAAAAACACACTAAATATTTGTTTGCAAGTATCACAAACGTTTATTTTATTGTATAAGGGGCCTTATACCAGATAATTTATTTTTTAATACCATTGCAATACAATGTGCTAGTAAAATAGAAGGTAAATGTATTATCACCAACCTATACATTTTTTTCTCCATAATTTTATTTTCTTTTAGAAATAAAGGCCTACATTTTACTCTCTCACACGATGAGTAGGATCTAGTCAAACAGTTGTCTGACAACACACACAATTTCTAATAGATGATGTTTTATTCAAAGGATATGTTGTAAAATGTTTAAACATTGTCTGTAGCAATAAGGTTTAATTTTTATGTAATTTGTTTCCAAGTGTATTCATTTCATCTAGATGTGTATAAGAGACAGCTAATGATCAGTAATTCTGAATAAGTTATCCTCTTAAAATATTGTATTAATTGAATAAAATAAATTCAAGAGATTTACTATTTAGATAAAGGATATGAATTATGATTTCAATTTCAATTGCTTTTGTACTATAATTTTAATTGCCATTGTGGTTCCTTTATTATTATTACTAAACCAATCAGAAATTGGCTACATTTGATGGTATTCAATTGATTGTAAATGTTTTAAACAACAGATAGGGAAGTTATACAGTATTTATTCAACCTTTATTCATTTTACCTTTTATTCGCTGAAAAGTAAATAATCATATAGGGCTACAGCTGTCTGACCTACAGTAACAATTAATAGTTATGTGAGTTTTTATACTGTTTTTCATATTGTTTGTATCTTTTATGTTAATTTGAAAAGACATAAAAAATATATCAACTAACATTGGTATTAAAAGAAATTGTAATGTGCACATTATATTGTGGAAATACATAGTATCTTCACCTTTATTATACTTGAAACTTTAAATATTGTACCTGATGAAATTAGATGAAAACATAGACAGCCCTAATTTATCTAATGGCTTACAAGTTACATTAGTAGTATGTAGAAGAACTATGATAGAATTATTTTTACCACGTGTTCCGAACTGTTAGGTATTTGAAGATCTTTCGGAACAGGATATTTCTAACTTGTTGAGGGTCACATAAGTGTTACACGAAGAAGAGATCAAACTAGGAAATATTTTTATGTAACATTTAGTTAGAAGAATATTGACAAAAAGCTTTGTTGTTGAATTAATGTCCAATCTATTTCCTGGAACTCAAATCATTTTGTATGCTATATTTGGCTGGTTGTTGGTTTTTAAAAAAAAATTATTATTACTAAACCATACCTATACGCACTGGAAAAATTCTAACTTCACAAAGACAACCAATCATTTGTAAACAATTAAGTCTTTACTTCTATTTATTTTCTGTTAGCATAATTAATAAGTAAAGCATATGGAGGTCTCTAGCAAATTTGTCATATATATATAATATTTAATAGAAAATTTATCTTCGAATAATTTTGAAAAAAGTATCTCCATTTTCTTATTACAATTTCTAAAATAATTTTACAATAATACTGTCATTGTCCAGGTTTAAGTTTGATGGGAGGGTGATATGCCTTACTCCTCCAGGGACCCAAATGTGAGAAAAGTTAAAGGAAATAGGGGAAGCAATCTAAAAAATTAGATTAGGTTTGCAGACTCTTTGTAACCTGCGACCCATGGGTGTCTGTCGATGCTGGAGGGAATTAGTATCACTGAAGCTAACAACATAATGCACGCTAGTTTACTTAACAAGGATTACATCTGCTATTCTCTCTATGAATACAGTCCATTATTTTGCAATAAAAAGAGAAAAAAACAAATATTAGAAATTTCCTCTGGAATTTTGGTCACCTTTTTAAATTACGTTCACAACATTTTACATGTTATTTTAAAGGAGGTTCAGATACAGAGATCCTGCTATTTAACCAAGTCAAAGTGCACATAGTGATACCACAAACAGAAATATCTTTTGTACAGTAATTCAAATTTATATTCCTGTCATTTTTTTCCTGCATTTTGTGTCTATTTTATAAGCCTAGTAAATTCCTAAAGAAATATATAAAATACATTCAATGTATTTACTGGTGGTATTGTTAGTATAAATAAAAGTATCTATGATGTCATATAGTTGATTAATAATATTAATTGTTATAATTAACATTAGCAAGTACTTTTATTATAGGAGGCTTGGCATGTCATCTGATTATTTACTGGAATCGACTTACTAAATTGCCAAAGTTATGAGTAAAGTATTATGGCTTTTCTGTACTAAAGTATACAATACTGCCAAATTCTTACACTAATTATTCATTTTAATAATCAGGGAATGTACACTGGTTTTGAAATTGCAAGCCTCATAACACTGTATTGAGACACGGAATATTTTTCCCTGAACATACAAATCTCTTGAGTTCGATACAACTGCAGCACTTGACATTCCAACATTTGATTCTGCTGGTGAACATCTGTCGTTTGTCTGTAGTATGTACTCTGTCGTTTTTCTAGTATGTACTTCCAATAAGCGGTGTCTGTGCATACTTCCTATCCAAAAGCCACTTCCAATTAACTGTGGGTGTAGCTTACATCTCGGTGGTTCCTCCGTGCTCAGTATTACCTTTTATTCAGCTCAAAGCAACTGTAGAACTACTGCTAAGCATCTCATCAGGTTTAGCATACAGCGAGGATTTCACATCTATTGTAAGCTGCCTTCATGTTTTTTGGATACATTATAGCTGGCCAGCTAATCTGGGGAATACACTTATACTTTTTCTGTCTTAACTTAATGTTTTGTCAGACTCCAATAGTATTTGTTTCAAAAAATCTGATCAGACAAATTGTCTTTTCTGGTGGAAGTCGGACAATGTTACATCAGACTACGTCATGGTTGGAGCTGTGCTTTGCTCTTATCAAAGGTCAATCAAAGTCAAGTGACATAAACCTATGTTGTGTGTATGATGTTTATGTCCATTGACCGTTATACAAACATGTGCTTTTCTAACTACGAATTGGCTTATTATATTAATTCTATCCTAAATTCTAACTAAAGATTGTACTCAAAATTAGT